AAACTGACTTTGAACCTTCTACACCAAATTTATGCCTAATGAAGGCACCAGTCAAGCCTCCCCGGGAAGAGCATTCCACAAACAGGGAGCCACTGCAGAAAAGGCCCGTTCTCATGTTTCCACCCTCACATGAAGAAGGGCCTCAAATGATGAACGCAGAGTCTTTGACAGTTTATAGGGGGAGAGGCGGTCCTTGAAGTATTGCAGTCCTGAGCTGTTTAAGACTTTTATACGTCAGCCAGTGCAGTCAGGTCAGGATCAGTGTAATATGCTCAAACCATCTTGCCCCACTGAGCAACTTGGCCGCTGAATTCTGCACCAGCTTAAACTTCCATACCATCTTCAGAGGCAGCCCTATGTGTAATGTGTTGCAGTAATCCAGCCTAGAGGTTATTATATATATATATATTTTGCAACCCTCCCCCTCATTAAGATGTTACCTCAGCCAGTTCCATCAGAGCTTGTTGTGCTTTCAGTCAGTCAAAATTTTTTTTTAAAAAAAATGAATGGCTTGTAAAAGATGAAAAATCCTGACATCTGAAAAAAGAACACAAGTAAATGAGTTTAATAGCATTAATTATTATTATTTTTGAACAATCTTAAATTTAAGTAACAGAAGTGGCATTGAATTTTGTGGCTTAAGTATCTCAACTTTCACCCAAGGTTCCAGCTCTCATGCCAGTGGAGAGCCTTGAGAGTAAGTACACCTGCTGACATTTCCAAAGCCTCTCGAGAGAGGAGGGGTCTCTTGGAGGTCTCTGGGGAGCTCTGAAGGTGAGAGGTTTAGACTGCCTTCACCAACATGGTGCCATCCAGATATTTTGGACTTCCGTCAGCCCTAGCCAGCAACTAAAGAATATAAGAATGTAAGAAGAACCATGCTGGATGAGACCAAAGGCCCATCCAGTTCAAATCTTCTGGAAGTCACCAGGTTAACAAAGGCTAAGAAGTGGCTTACAGTGGATTTCTTCAGATCAAGCATCAGATCACAATCTGTGGTAAGATTCATTTAGACTGCGTACATACCGTACACCATCTCCCCAACCCCCCAAAAGAGTCCTGGGAAATTTAGTTTACCCTCCCACAAAGCTACAATTCCCAGCACTCTTTACAAACTACAGTTCCCGGGATTCATTGGAGAAAAAGCAAATGTGCTTTAAATTCATGGCATGTGTCCAAACCATGATATGGCTTACATGGTTCCCCTCTCCAGCCACCTTCCCTGAGAACCCCCAGAGGCCCATCCCAAACAGCAGGTTCTGAGGGTGTAACAGCATCCCAAACCACAATTCATCTTCTCAGATGTAGCACCAAGCCACAGCTTACTGTACTGTGCAAACCAGTTTCATTTGCTATATTTAGGCATAATTATTGTCCTAAGGGATAGAAGCTTGTCCCTAGTGTTAACAAAAACCTGTGTTTTTTGGATGTTGTGTTCTGCACTCAGTATGCACTTTGTAGATGCGAAGCATTGCCCCCATGTTTGTCCATATATGTGTACATAGGTTCTGCATTATGCATACACCTAAGGGCAGGAGGAGGCATCTATGGGGTCGTCCCCCAGGATGGCAATTAGCAAGCAGAGACCTTAGGAGTGTTTCTTGGGGCCAGATTCTGCCTGCAGGCCACCTGTTGTATCCTGGAGGTGCAGCGTGAATCTTCTGCTCTGGCTCGCTAAATTAATTGGTCCCTGCTGCGGAGCCATCTGCGCCAGCTTCCTTGTACGGAAATAATGGTGTGTGTCTGTGTGTTTTCACTGAGACTCATGTTCTGTTTATGCTGCTGAATGAGCAAATGAAAACCCTCTCGATCCCATGCCTGTTGTCTGGTTCTGGTGCTGAAAACATTTTTAGCTAGCTCTGTAAGACCCACGGCCTGTTGTACATTCTAGAGCCCCTAGAGTAGACAGGCATGATCCATGAAAACAAAATAAAGATCATTGGTCCATCTAGCTTTGGATCCAGCTTTGTTACCGGCACTGACTGGCAGTGGCTCCCCAGGGTTTCAAACAGTCTCTCTGTTGAATACTGAGATGCTGTTGAATATTGAACCGAGGACCTTCTGCATGCAAAGCATGAGTTTTAAGATGTAGATATTTCTCTCCCCTAGAAATAAAAGTATCCTGATGATTATGGATAAAAGGGATTTTTGTGTGTCAGAAGGGGGCATAGGAATATAAGCAGGAAGTTGCCATATACCATGTCAGACCATTGGTCCATCTAGCTCAGTATTGTCTACACTTACTGGCAGCACCTCTCCAAATGTTTCAGGCAGGGAGTCTCTCCAGCCTTACCTGGGTGTGCTTCAGGTTGGTTCTCTACTGCTCAGCTGCAGCTCTTCGCTGTACAGCACTTTCAGAAACTTTATTTGCTTTCCAACAAGCACATGTTGGCACGTAAACAAGCCACATGTAACAGCCACCCCCAACAGGCCACTTGTCAGCATCAAAAGGATGAACAGAGAGCACGATGTAATAGATATCCTTAAAATATCAAATTACTTTCTTTGAGTCCACAATGCATTTGATGACATGCCTGGGATTCCCTTCTAGTCTGTTTCCTGCTGATGTTCAAGCCTGGACCACTCCTCACAAATTAAAAAAAAAAAGCAGAGGTGAGAGGGTGGCCGTTAGAAAGTCTTGTGCAGTTGGATAGTGCCCCCCCCCATGCTTTGGACAACAACTCACATCAGCCCCAGGCTCCCATTAGTTGAATGGTAAGCTATCAAAACTGTAATTGTGAGTATCTTCCTGGGTCAGCCTTCACCAACCGGGTGCCCTCCATATTATAAGACTGCTGCTGGGAGAATGGCTGTGCTGGCTGGGGATGATGGGCCACTGGCTTCAAGTTACAAGAAAGGAGATTCCAACTAAACATCAGGAAGAACTTTCTGACAGTTTTGCCAGATGACCCGTTGAGGTACTTTCAGTTCTACAGTTCTGTGATTCTATGAATGTACGAAAACAATACTTTCTGGGGAGAAATAAAGCACTAGGCAATTTCCCCCAAAATTTTCCATCCTTGGCCAACCTGGAACCCTTTAGATTTTTGTCTTACAACTCATAGGCTCATAGAATAGAGTTGAAAGGGACCCTGAGGGTCATCTGGTCCAACCCCATGCAATGCAGAAATCTCAACTAAAGCATCCGTGATAGATGGCCGTCCCACCTCTGCTTAAAAACTTGCAATGAAGGAGTGTTCAACACCTGTCAAACAGATCTTACCGTCAGAAAGTTCTTCTTAATGTTTAGGAATCTCCTTTCTTGTCATTTGTTCATTAGTAGCAACAAACAGATGTTGTTTGCAAATGAAACATCAGGCCAGGCTTGGCAAATTTCAAAGTTTTTGGTTTTGTTTACCAAATGCTGATAAAATAAAACATGCTAAATTAGAATATTCTCTAGGAGAGGGATGGGGAACATCTGTGGCTCTCCATATGTCATTGGAGCCCAATTCCCTGACTAGGTAAAATTCACTTTCATTGCTCCACCCACTTTTGCCTCTGGCCCCGCCCAATGCTGGAATATGGCCTTCAGAAGGTTGCACAGAAGAGAATGTGTCGTTCAAACTGAAAAAAGGCTCCCCATCCCTATGGTTTAGACCAGAGCTTTCCAAATGTTTCATGTTGGTGCCACACTTTTTAGACATGCATAATCTCACAACACAGTAATTCAGTTTTGCTAGCAAATTGGAGGTTAAACTAACCCCTTTCCAGCCCCAGGAGGAGCACGGGGAGCGTTCACGTGAGATACCTACACACTGCAGCCAACACACTAACATGTCACAACACACAGTTTGGAAAGCTCTGGTTAACACAGTACTGGACAAGATGGACCAATGGTCACATGCTGTACTGGACAGCTTCCTCAATTCCTTTGATGCATTTAAGAGGTGTGTTTCTACTCAAAAGTAGTTCCCATTGAGTTTAGGTGGACCTAACTTCCAGGTACTTGTGTGAGTATATCTTAGAGGTGCAGAAAATTTGGCACTCCAGATGTCATTCAACTCCCAATTCACACCAGCCCCAGCCAGCAATGGCCAACAGTTGGGGATGCTGGGAGTTGTAGTCCACCATCATCTGGAGGGTAATAGATTCCTCATTACTGGTGTATAAGAATGCAGCTACAGCAATCTTCATGTGTTAGCCAAGCTTTCGTATCTTTACAACAGCCCTGTAAGGCAGGCCAGCTGTGCAGTTTTTATGTAGCAAGCAGGTGACAAGGTGGAGGGAGGCTGATGATGTGAAGGGGGAGAGGACGGCTTTCAGGGCCTCCCCAAAAGCCTATTGCCAGGGTGAGTTTCAAACCGGCAGCCTTGTGTTCCTCTGTGAATGGAAAGCTTTGTACTGATGACCCTGAGACCATTGCCCTTTAAAGCAACTGATATCCTGTACCAAGTTATCATGCAACCAAAGGTTTTGCCACAAGCAGACATCCAACAGGAAATGGTGGCGGCCGGGTGTCTGGGTAAGAAGGATGTGGTTTGGGTGCTGTTCATCTATAGGCTCTGTTTTTCATATTTAGACTGTGCTGCTGCGGTAAACCTCATAGTTTCCTCTGGAGTTGGAAGGAACCTGTTCATTAGTGCTCCCTCTCTTTTGTTCTCTCTCGCTCTTTTTTAATTGCCTTATTCATAGAGTACAATGTTACTAAGTTTTTAATCCTCGCAGCATCCCTGTGAGGTAGGTCAGGTGGAGGGAATAAAGTACTGGTGCAAAGTCACCTAAGAAGCTTCAAGTCTTGTGTGGGAACTTGAACTCGAGTCCCCCTTAGTTCAAGTCCAACACAGCCAGGGTCCTTGGGCCTTTCTCCCCTCAAAGCACGACTCCTATTACATAGTTGTCTAAAGACAGTTAAACTTAGTGGCCTGTAGCACACCTGCTTGCGGTTAGTCCCATAAGTTGCACACGTACTTGAAAGTAAAAAAAAACCCAAAAAACCTTTACAGCCAGGCAAGATTACCTTTTGGGCAAGTTTTATCTCTTTTTGTCTACTACCCCAGGTGACTTCACCGGATTTATTCTCGCCCAAGCAAGCCTGAGCCCAATTTTCATCATATTCGGATTCATCACACTCATCGTTTTTAAGAGAGAGCTTCACACGGTGAGTCCTGCTCCTGCTTCTCTGCCCCCCTCCCCAAATCTGGATCTAGCCTTTTGTGTTCCTGAACTCACATCTCCTCCTGGGGCCTGATAGCATCTGCTTTCCTTTCTCTCGTTTCCCCTTTCCTGAAATTGTCCCCATCACTCCCTTCACCTTGACCATCCCATGACTTTCCTTTCTCTTACATCTGTAATTATAACTATTATTAATTCAATTTCTTACCTGACTGTCACCATGAGGTCCCAAGATGGGTTGCAGCAGTTTAACATCCGGAATGAAAAACAGTTTAAAACAAAATTACAGGCACAGAAATAGGGTGGGTCCTTAAAATATGCCTCTTGTCAAAGGCCACGTTGAAGAGGCTCACCTTCAGCATGTAAGAGAAACTGTATTGTGACGGTGCCAGAAGCACCTCTGCAGGGAAGGAGTTCCACAATTTAGGGGCTGCCACAGACAAGGCCCTCTTCTGGGCTGCCAAGAGGGTGGAGGAACTACCAAGAGGGCCTCCTCTGGCAATCTCAAGGTGGAAAGAGGTGGTATTGACAATACCTTGTCAGTTGTGCCCAGTAACTGAATAGAATAATAGAATTGTAGAGTTGGAAGAGACCCAGTTCCTGTCGTGCTGGAATCTCAATAAAGCATCCATTACAGATGGCCACCCAACTTCTGCTTTAAAACCTCTAAGGAAGGAGAGTCCACAACCTTCCGAGGGAGTCCATTCCACAGTTGACTCTTCTTGACAGAAAATTCTTTTTGATGTTAATCAGAATGTCCTTTCTTGTAATTTGAATCCATTGGTTCAGGTCCTACCCTCCAGAGGAGAAGACAAGCATGCTCCATCTTTCATGGGACAGCCCTTTAGATATTTAAAGATAGCTATCATATCTCCTCTCAGTCTCCTCTTTCCCAGGCTAAACATACCCAGCTCCTTCAACCATTCCTCATAAGACTTGGTTTCTAGAGCCTTGATCATCTTGGTTGCCCTCCTCTGCGCTCATTCCAGATTAACATGACCTTCTCCCTGCAACTGTTGGCTACTCATGTATACATCAGGGATTTCCTTTGTAATTTTCTCTTTCTTCCATTTCTTATGCATGCCCTTCTTAAATATCAGCTCACCTGTAAGCTTATGCACACTGGTTTCTTTAAATGCCTCCCACTTTTCTGTTTTGTTGAAGTTGTCTTCATAGATGAGTTCCAGAAGGATAGATGCCTTTAGTTCTATTGCAGCAGAAAGAGGAAAGACCCTTTGACACTATGAGGCAGGGGTGGGGAAACCCCAGCTCTGGGAGCCACACCTCTCCTCAATTTTTTTTAAAGTCTGACCGGAATGTTTCCTTGAATGTAATGATGCCTCTTGCTTGCCTACACACACACACACACACACACACACACACAGGCTTTGGCTTTTTGCCCCTCCCACTTCTGCCTCTGGCCCCATGTTCCCCATGTGCCCTTGAAAGGATGCTTGTGAGGCAATGTGACCCTCAGGCTGAGAAAGGTTCCCTGCTCCCGCCTTGAAGATCCTATGCTAACAGATGCTTAGAGTAGGTACGTCTTTGGGTAGGGGATTGTCAGGTCTGGAGTCAGATGCAGGTCAGCATGAAGCAGCAGAGTCAGTTGTCAGTGAACTTAGCTCTTTATTCAAGGAAACGGCATACAACTCAGGAACACTTCCCAGTCTTCCCCTATAGAGGAGTTGCCAGGGCTGAAGGTGCCTGCCTTCTATCCCTCCTAAGACGACTGCTCTCCCAGATGTTTCCCAAGAAGTCTCAAACGGCGTCTGAGCACCTCCGGTCCCTGTTCTGCATTCCTGGAGATCATCGGGGAGAGGAGCTTGTTGCAGCAGGAGAGGGAGCTTCTCTGGATTCTTCAGCAGTCCCTTGACACTCCTTCCCTTCTGCCTCAGCCTCAGAGTCTGAACTTCTCCCTGTCACAGGTTCCTTCTGCTCACTGAACCCTGTTGTCCCTTCAGTATCCAGCAGGCCCTCCCAATCTTTCCCCTCTGACGTCTCCTCAGTGTCCCACCACCAGTCCCTGGGCTCTGAGCCTTCCTTCTCTGGGATTTCCTTTGGGGCTTCCCCAGCTGGTGCCTCCACCACTCCTCTTCATCCAGCTAGTCCCTGACAGTATCTAAATTCTGAGTTACAGAGAGGAGGAGGAAGAGGAGGGAAGAAACTTCAACCTGTGTTTTTTACAGTGAGGCCAAAGGTTCAAGCAGTGCAAGAGAGAGAGCCATAAGTATGTTGCCATCCAGTGGGCAGCCAGTCAACCTGGAGCACCACCCCACTCCTTTATTAGCAGCTAGTGGTGAACAGTCATAGCTATCCATAACCATCAATTGTCTAAATAGAGCCAATGAGATAGCAGTACGTATGTTGCAGCAACATGGCAAGCCAATGGATTAAGAGCAAGAACCAGCTGACATGTTTGTGCATGCGTGACCTGGTCCTGGCTGTCGGCCAGAAGTGAGGAGCAGGCATAACCAGAACAATTGCAGAAACCAGGGACAGGGAACTTTTGTCCCTCCAGATTTTGTTGTTGAGCTCCCAACTCCTGTCAGCATGGATCTCATTGTGCCTTGGCACAAGCAGGACTTGCTATCAGTGCCCATCAACCAATCAAATGCTGACAGGCAGCCCTAGTGAGATTGGGAGTCATTTATTCCAGTGGGTCTCCTTTGAATAGGACAAACATTGGAAACAGCACAAGGTTTCTGAAGGGCTCCCTGTTCTATATGTGCCTGCTCACCTTTGGAGGTCATCATCTTTAGTTGCCCCTGGCTTTGAAGGTTGGGCAGGTGGTGAGAGGGTTTCTTCTCCTGTGTTGGCGCTCTGGTTGCAGAGTCCCAGGGACATTGGCCACCTTGGTGAGTCTCAGATGCAAGGTTAAAAACAATTTGATGCCTTTGGGAGTTGTTTATTGGCCAAGAGAACATGTCAAAAGAAACCTTGATGGGACTTTGGGGCGTATTAAATGAAATTAATATTCACAAATCATATCATATCAATCATTCATTCATATCATTCAATCGTATCATAGTATATCATTCTATCATATGTCATATCATTCAATCAATCAATCAATCAATCAATCAATCATAGCATATCACATATCATATAATTGAATCAACCAATTGTTTAGAATTCATTGCATTTCCAATTTAACCACTTGCAATTAGAGAAATATGCAGTTCACCCTTTGAGGTCACATTAGCTGAATATTCGAGAAGGCAGAGATCACTTTGCATCAACATTCAAAATCGAGTTATGTTTGAGAATTTTGACAGAGGTTTTGGGAGGGGGGGCCTCACATTTTTTTGTTTCACCTTTAGAAATCCCAAAAGCAAGAAGATATTTGCCCATCTATTTCACGGGAATTTTTTTTAACAACAACAACAAAACAGTTGCTGCTGAACTTTATATATAATGTTTTTATGTTATTTAATCAAATTATTTGGTATTGGACTCTATTATGATGCTTATAGAGCTTATTTTAAACCAGAAGTAGCCTAATGAATTTGATTTTTGGCTTTTAATGGAAAGGTGGGATGATAATGCTTTCTAAATCCCTAGAAGAATCTAGCTAAACAAATTATCCTCTGCGCAACAACCAGTTGATCTCAAAAATCACACATCCCTTTTTGTCCTTTTGCAGATCTCATTCTTGGGGGGCCTCTTGCTCAATGAAGGTGTGAATTGGCTAATAAAGAATATTATCCAGGAGCCTCGTCCTTGTGCAGGTGGAGTATTGCTGGCAGGGAAAGGGTGCAGCTGACTACAGACCTGGGCATTGTTAATGAGGGTAGCAGTTCTCATCCACTGCCTTTGCTTATGGAACGATAAAAATAACTACATTTTGTTTTTGCTTTTTTAAAAATAGTTTATATTTTCCACATTACAATCAACAGCAAAATTCAATAATGAAAGCAGCCAGCTAACAACCAGCTGACTGGGAAACTTTGAGAAAAATCATTGGTGCGGGCTTGCAGATAGCAGTACATCAATCACCAAAGCAGACTTGCTGCTGCTGCTGCTGCTGCTTCTCTGCCATCGGATTGCATTGAGTGCATCATCCATCTTCCCTGTAGTAACAGAGTATAAAAGTGGATCTATTTCCAAATATTTACATTTTTATTTATTCATTTATTTACTGTATTTAATAAGATTTATACACCACTTGTATTGTTAACAAACACACCTCAAAGTGGCCTAAAAAGAGATAAAACAGTAGAATCATAAAAATTATAATAATTTAAGACTTTTGTAAAAAAAATAAAATTAAAAAATCAAAACATGCATTGACTTTCTGAATATCTGGGTAGGCTTGTCTAAACAAAAATGGAGCTGCTGCCAAAAGCAGTACAGTGAAGGGGCCTGCCTGATATCTCCAGGCAGGGAGTTCCAAAGTGTGGGCACTGCCACGCTAAAAGATTGAATTCTTACAAATGCAGAATAGGTCTTATGTGGTGCCTGTAACTGTGGCAGTTCCGCTGATCATTTTTAACTGTTCAGGTTGCTTTAGTGCAAAACGTCTTTACCGCTTCAACTGCTTTGGGGGTAGCTGGGAGAGCACTTCCTTCAAGCGGTTGGGGCTTTCTATAGCCAGCAGGTAAGAGGTAGCATCTTCCTCCACATACTCTGGCAACATTTAACCCAAACATAAACTCTTGGGGAGTCGGGCCCTTCTTGATCGCAGGGGAGGAGAGCCAAGCAATGCTCCTACAGTCCAACTAACATTTGTGCTTCTTCTTCTTCCTCCTCCTCAGAAATCCACACATCGGTTTTTTCCAAGTACGCCATGCCTTCCAGCCATTCCCAGTTCATCTGGTTCTTCTCCATTTACTCTTTTCTCTTCCTCTATTTAAGGTGAATAATCCCTTTTCCTTATGATGCTGGTGGATAGGGTGTTCCAGCCTTGCTTTTAAGCTTATGTAGAGCTCAGAAAAGGGGCTCCATTTACAGTGGCCTCTTCCTTTTTCCATTCAGTTAGATTAGCTCCCTTTGTCCCTGACCACTGGCCATGCTGGCTGCAGGGGCTGATGCGAGTTGGGAGTCCCCACAATATCTGGAGAGCCGCAAGTTCCCCACCCCTGATCTAAGAAGAAGCACCCTCTTTCCTCTCATGAGGGAATGCCGCTTCTACCTAGAGGCATCCTTCCATCTCCTGCATGCAGCCAGGAATGCTGCTTCTCAGATCAAGGATATGGAACCTGCAGCCTTTCAGATGTTTGTTGGACTTTAGCTTCCATCATCCCTCACCACTGGTCTCGCTGGCTGGGGATAATGGAAGTTGGAATGGCATCGTAAAAGCAACAAAAAGTTGGATTTATGGTGTGAAATCAGTATGTTTTAAATGAACAGAGGGAATCTTTGTGAAGCTTTAAGTGGATTATTTTTATTTTTATTTTTGCTCTGCCTTTGATTAAAGTGTTTTAAGAAATTGATCCAGCAAGCACAGAGTCTGCTGACTTTTTGGGGGGGGGGATCCATCAAAGTCAAGTTTCTAGTCCTTAAAGAGGTGAGAGAATCTTGAAACACATTAAGGTATATCTGTATGATGCATGCACTTGCCACACAGGCACACATTGAGATCTTAGACATTTACCTTAAGGTACCATTTTAGGTGTAAAAATAAAAGATATTTATATGTGAACAGGTCCTGAAACTTAGGATTTTTTTTCTGTGTTGCATAAAATCAAGTATCAGGCTCCTTGGGGGTTTTTTAAAATGAAGGATACAGGGCGGGGGTGTGATAAGCTTTTTCTTTTTTAAAAGAGCAAGCTCTAAAGTATCTATGTGGGCTTGAGCTTGCTGGATTGTGATTTGGATGTATTGCTTATTTAGTGAGAGGTCATTTCAGTTAAATATTTTTGTCTCCCAGAATGCATCAAACGAACAATGCAAGGTTCCTGGACTTATTGTGGAGACATATCCTCTCCCTCTGCCTCTTAACCGTGGCCTTTCTCGTCTCCTATAGTAGGTAGGTCAGTTCCATTTTGTTGGATGCTTTCTTGGGGCAGCTTTTGGTTTTGCTGTTGGGACTGATGCATTCATTATTAATGGTTTAAAAGCTTCAGTTGTTCCTGGAAGCAATGCAAGAACTCTTTATTCAAATAAATGTTTCAGTAAATATGCAGCAGGGTATTTTGATGGTGGGTGGGTGGCTTTTTAAAATTATATTTATTTCTAATCTCTTATCTTAGCATGAGAAGAGCCCTGCTGGATCAAGCCAATAGCACATCTCGTAGACCTTTTGCCTGACATTGCTACGCTGTGCATCTTTCTCTTGCTGTCCATCACTGGTGGATGCTAGAAGGGCAGATAAATGCTCAGCATTGCAATATCAGAACAAATTATCTTCTGTGTGGTGAAGAAGGAGAGGGGCAGGAGCTTAAGACTGGACTCCCATTTTTTGCCTCTGGTCCAAAGTGCAATTCCACTTTGAGTAAGCAGTGAAATGCCCATTTTAAAAAGTATGTATTTTTTCCATTAACTATTCAACTTGGGTCCAGCCCAGACTGCACAAGTCAATCCCATAGTTTGGTCATCTGTGCTGTTCCTCAAACTCATGTGCTGTCTTCCCCTGCTCTGCTGGTGTGCTCCCAGCTCTCTTCTCCACTTCCTGTTTAGCAGTAACCATAGTTTTGTCTACAAAGTGATTTGAACTGTGACTTTCCAGTTCCAGTTTGGAGGCAAACTGTGGTTAGTGGCAGCCACTATTGGCCTCATTCATGTACCACATCAAGCTGTATGATTAACCATGAACCAGGGTGGGAAGGTGGCCCTGATAGCCAAGCAATGAATTGGCTGTCCTCGGGGGGAAGCGGGGATAGGTGAGGGGTAAACAGGGTCTTTGTGAGCTTCCCTCTTTTGAGAAAAGGTGACGATGGTGCTGTAACTAACTCTCTAGCATGCTCTCTTCTTGATGTGCTTTCATTCTGTTTCAACACACACAGAGTCTATCTGATGTACCACTCCTGGAGCCAAGTTGTATATGGAGGGATTGTGGGGAGCATCATGGCGATAGTTTGGTTTGCATTCACACAGGAGATCTTAACACCATTGTTCCCAAGGATAGCTGCATGGTAAGTCCCCCTTATTTGTTCTGCCCCCTCCCCCACCTGAGACCAAATTGCTGCTCTGGAATCTTTCTAAATTGAAAGGCAGGTCAGAAATCCTTTGAGTTTTATTGGGCAGCAGGTGGGAGAAGCTCCTTTGTGTGTTGGACTGGGGTCCCTTCATATAGAAATCCAGTATGTCAGGGAGAATATAGTACAGAAGGAAACTCAGGTGGCTAAGTGCAGAGTTAATTGTCATGCATGATGTCATGCATGATGCCTTTTTGAGCACTTGCTGTCCGGATTCTGCTTTAGCGATGAATACCTCAGTTTCAATATCACAGCAAACCATAGTTGAATATTTGTTTTGGTGTCTGCCAACCATGGCTTGTCAAATTCAACCAGCCAGCAAACAAATCAGTACTGGAAACCATGGTTGGAGGTGCAGTTGCCAGCCATGATTTGTGCTGTGTTATTTTCGATGATCTCTGAATTGACAAGCCATGGTTACCTCCATCGCTTCGCCTCCAAAGGTTTCTATACTATGGGCACATGAGGAAATCTGGGGGCTGAACAAAAATGAAAGCAGGTAAGCAGCCGTAAGCCATAGTTTACCTGCAACGTAAGGAAGCTCAGGTGATGGTTTGTGTTCCAGAACCATTCTTGGCACAGAGCTTTGTTCTAATATACTCTCTGAATTTAGACCTTAAGGAAGTTACCACTGTCATTTGGCAAATCCCTGATATTTGTCAGAGTGAGGGAAAGGTACCTGGGACTGAGTGACTGTTCTTTTATTTTTAAGCAAAATGTAATTAGACCATCAACTATCCCAAGTGTATCAAATGCTTTCATTCAGAATCTGCCTTGTTTTTTGCTATGTTTATTCACTTACAAGAATTAACAGACTTTACAAAAAATAAGTTTGCTGAATTCTTGTTCTCTGTCTCCTTATTTTCTCCCCCTCTCCCGTCTCCTTCTTCTGCCAAACCTTTCCACTTCTTCCAGGCCATTATCAGAGTTTTTCTTAATCAGAGACACCAGTCTCATCCCAAATATATTATGGTTCGAGTACACAGTGACCAGAGCAGAAGCCAGGTGAGGATTTCATGCACGATTGAGGTTGGGAAGGGTGCTGCTGAGAGGAGACCATTATTCCCTTCTGAGAGATACATTTCCTTGAGGAATAGGGGGTCTCCTAACGATTCTGAACACCCTGAACAAGCTATAGCTCCCAGAATTCTTTGGGGAAGCCATGACTTATGGAGTATAATTGTCTTTTAAAAGTATGATGTGGGGGTGATTGTTTTATAGAAATCACTTCCCTTCTTGAGTTACTGGATTGTATTGACTCCTTGGTTGCAGGCTTGAGTCTTTCCAGCTGGGAGGTGCTGGGGACTGAACCTATGGCCTTCTGCACACAAAGTGCACCCTCTGCCCACTGAAATCAAAAGCCTGGGCAGGGCTCAAAAAGCACCTTGATAAGATTTGAACCCACTTCCTTTTTAAATTGCAGGAACCGACAGCGTAAGCTGGGTACAAAGCTCCAGTGAATATGGAAGGGAGATGTTAGGAACTGGACTGCACGAATTCTGTAAGACAAAAAATAAAAATAAAAATAAAAAAGCAAGGGCCAGCATTAGAGAGAGAAAGAGACCTGTACAGAGCTGGAAGTGAAGGAAGGAGTCTGTTAAGAGATGGACCAAAAGGAACGGAGGCAGGGACCACCACACCCTGAAGACCAGAGGCCTTTTCCAGCTAGCCGGATCCACACTCTGCTGCATGCCGAGGACCATTCAGGAACCAGCGACCCATTTATATACCGCAGCTGCACAGCATCTGACCGGGAGGGTGGGAACAACCCCTTCCCTCACTCGGCCATTGCACGTCTCTTGCGCAGACTCCGCTGATGCAAACAGAATTGCTGGAGGGAGAGAACTCCAATGCGCCTTCTCTCCCCCCTCCCCCCATCTGTCCCTTCATTTCAGCAGGGCCTGCGCAAGACACCCTTTTGGGTTGGTTTTACCTGTGAATTTTGAAAAGTCTGAAACAGGGAAAGGGGGGGATATATTTAGCGTTTTGTCGGTGGGGGAGTCAAAATATTATATGTCTGTGACTCCCCCCACAAATTGATTTCCCCTTTTGCAGCATGCAATGTACACACTATTTATTATTCCTTTTAGAATAAAAACTGGTTTGCAAAAAGGGGGGGTGGGGACCCTGTGACCAAGTGTTTTGGAAGGCAGCTGATTCATCTCCCTTTGGCAGGAGTTGAGAAACGTGGATCACTGGAGCAGAAAACAGGGGGAGCCTTCTTTCTGTTAGTTTAAAACTTTATCATGACTGTTCAGGGGCATCTGGGCCAATCCCAACTGCACTTTGTATTGATTTTAAGAAAACTACACTAGTGATGTTTCTGCACTGTGTCAGCACAATACAAAAACTCAATAGTAGGGCTGGGTGATATATCCCTATGTCATCCAAAACCAGTTTGAAGTCTGTATTGTGATATTGGTTTCATAATTTTTGACCTGGCAATATATCGCGAATTATGATGTGTGTTAGGGCTAGGTGATATGTCAGCCAAAATAGCTTTGAAGTCTATACAGTGGTACCTCAGGTTAAGAACTTAATTTGTTCCGGAGGTCCTTTCTTAACCTGAAACTGTTCTTAACCTGAGGTACCACTTTAGCTAATGGGGCCTCCCACTGCCGCCGCGCCACCGCTGCTCAATTTCTGTCCTCATCCTGACCAAAGTTCTTAACCCGAGGTACTATTTCTGGGTTAGCCGAGTCTGTAACCTGAAGTGTCTGTAACCCGGGGTGCCACTGTATCGTGATATTGGTTTCATAATTTTTGACCTGGCAATATATTGCGAATCATGATGTGTGTTTGTTCGCTATGCAAAAATCACAATGCGGGGAAAACCGTGAAGCCAGTCAATGCCTCTACATGCATTCATCCATACTGCAGACATCGTGATGTATCAGTATATTGCGATGTTTAGCTGGTGATATATCACAATGTTTAAAACCAGGTATCACCCAGCCCTACTCAATGCTATCTTTTTATTATTATTCAGATATCTGTACAAATTGTTTTGTTTTAATTGTTTTGTTTTATTATTTTAGAGCCAACTTCACCAGTGACCCTATATTTTCCTTCCTTCCTTCCTTCCTTCCTTCCTTCCTTCCTTCCTTCCTTCCTTCCTTCCTTCCTTCCTTTATACTTTCTACCCTAATCTTTTTTTCCTTCCCCAAAATACTGCTGCAGACTTTCTTACTGGTAGTTTAAAATGCAAAAGAAGAAAGCACCATCAAGGCATCACTCATTCCCTTGGTGGTTTCAAATTTATCCCCAAGTTGCCCCCCCGAAACTTTTAAATACTCAATAAAATGTTTTTATGGTCGTTTTGGGGTTGCCAAGTGTGTTTGTTTGACAAGTGTAGCTATATGGAGAGACCTCTCCTCCACACATTGGTAGAAGCCTGAGGACATGTGCCTTGCTCACAGGTTTGCCTCAAACCCATCAAAATATGCATCCAGCTATATATACAGCCAGCCATGATCCAAACAAACATCACAATTACTTTCCCTTTGAAATCAATGAGCCTTCAGGGAGTTGAGCACACCCAATTTAAATTGCTTTCAACACAACGTAGGCTGAAATGCTGTGTTTCTTACCTGGGAGTAAGTCACATGAAACTCATTGGGATTTACTGCTGTGTAGAGCCATGTAGGATATGTGCTGCTGATTGCAGGATTATGTACCCAGTATATTGCTTCCAACTGAATTAACTTTAGGTGGATTACATGCCTAGAGAAATCTACTCTGATGCACAGGAGCCTGTTCCTGGATTGGAGTGAAAATATATGGGCTAAAAGAATCCCCATGATGACTTCTCTTGGTGTCCACAAAATTTCTGCACGCTCCCCACCCACTTTGGCCTCCTTTCAGAAGAGAGCAACCACAGCCTTAAACAAGTACATAGAGGCGAGAGGGGACCATGAAAATGACACTGCTCTTTCTTCCTCTCCTGTTCAATTGTTCAACTTTTCCAGACTAAGATCAAGACCAGCGCTGCTAATCTCAGTCTTGAAAAAAATCCATAGAAGTGAGAGAAAGGTCGTTTCTAACTTCCTGTGTCAACTTTATGGACTTTGGCACCCTGGGCTGCAAAGTAGAAAAAGCACCCTCCCTGTACACAGTGCATGTTTAAAAACACAGAAAAGGGTCAGTTTGAGGAACAGATCTGATACAATGGGGCAGAAGGCAAGTGAAAAAACCCAATGGTGAGAGGGGAATAGAGTGGCTGATGTTTCCTGGAAAGTGCTACTTCTGTCAGCCAGCACAGAGAGGAGGAAGCTAGCTTTCTTTGTGTCTAATAATGCACCTACAATCTAAGCATTTACAGTAATGTTTCACTTTTTTGCTAAGCACAAGGGAAGAAAATACACCATCTTCAGTACCAGTATGCAGAAACAAACAGCTTAAAATTTCAGTTTTAATTGGGTTAAGTTTACACACAATACCAGTGAGCGTTTTTAGGCCCATCCATACATATATTACAATTTACAAGCAGATCATGCAAACATTCATCAGAAGCATTATAAAATTACATGCACCAAAGATTCTGCAGTGCTTTGAGAAAGCACCTGTTCTAACATTCCAGTATGCTAGAAGCTGCTGCTGAACAGCTTGGGCAATGAAGTTTTTATCTTTTTAATACCATAAATGATGGGAAACCAGCATACATTAAGTAGTTTGGCAATTCAAAATGTAATTGTTTAGCTCTTGAGAGCTCAAAGTACATCTCGACAATCCTTAGAAATGAACAACCCATCAGGTAGGCCTGTACTAAGATTGCAGGGACATTCACGACTAAGGTAAGATTCAAACCCTAGACTTCTGTTCATGCTCTCTCCACTTTCAATAATTTTACATAGAACACTGATGTATAAATATCAGGGTTGGTTTTTTAAAAAAATATAACACCTGAATCTAGGCACTGTAAGCTTCAAAGAAGTGATGAGGTTAAAACCATTAAAACCACAAACATACCAAATACAGTTTAAAATGGGGAAACACATGGCAACATGTAAACAGTCCTACATTAACACAATCTCCCTTTCTCCCTAGGAGTGGGCAATATAAGGCACTTGTAAAACAGGAGGATTTTCTTTAATCTCAACCTCCATAAAAGCCAGTGTCTAGTCCTCATGACTGCCAAGATGCCTCTTGAACACATGACAGCAGAAAATGGTATTCTATAAGGGAAACAACGCAGATCTCTTCGGCACAAATCCAATACAGACTTGAGTGGGCTTAAGCCTTTAAGAGCACGACTCTGTGCTGTGGCCTCTAATGTTTCTCTTCTCATGCCCAAAGTGATAGGAATTTATTCAGAACGTGGCATATGGCCTGTGTTTGGCCTTGCTATTTTGCCTTTAAAAACAGGGATGGGCAACCTGGAAGTGCCCCCCCCAAGATGTTGGACTTTCAACTCCCATCACCCCTGGCCATGCTGTCCGAAAACACCCAAAGCGTGACAGCTTCCTCATGCCTGTTCTAAAAATCTTATCAAGGCAAAGTTTGGCCATTCCACACCTGAGCAGATTGAGAGATCAAGGAACAACCACAAAAGTCATCTCAGCAATTACAAATTTAACATGTTTATTTTGGCATAAGCTTCCTGGACCACAGTTCAATCAGATGCAGGGGAAGACTGAACTGGCAAGCAGGCGCTTGCGGTTTGTGTGCAAATGGGTACATAATGCTCGCCAGTTTGCATCTTCTGCAGTTGAAATGGACCACAGTCCACAAAAATCTCTTATTATAATGAAACTTTTTCGTCTCTAAGGTGCTACGAGTCATCTGGAAGCCCTGAGCCATAGTATCAAGAGTTTCCAAAAAGAGAGAGGATAGAACAGGGTGGTTGGAGACACCCCCCCCCGGCAGAATCTTACTTCTAGCCAGGCCCCATCCTTTCACCCCGACTACTTGACTTCTCACCAGTTTCTCATAGATTTTACCAAGACCCAGCAAATCCTTTAGACTGCTTGATCTTCGCATACTTCTGTGTCAGGTGGGGTGAGGTGTCGGCAATCTACAGTGAAAATGGCCAGAACACCTACTTCTTCAACAACGAAGAGTGCTTTATTATCAAACAATAAAATGGGTGGATCTGCAGGGGATAGGAACCTGTTACAGCAGGGGGTGCTCCCATCCTGATGGATTCCCAAAACACACAAGGATATTAAAAAACCCAAGCAAACACAAAACGGAGATCTGAGCTGTGGATGGGTGTTGAGGGTATAGAAAACAGATAAAGCTACACTGCAATGATCCCCTCTCCAAGCTAGCAGCAAAGTAGAAAGGCGACCATATTTCCTTGGTTTGAGAAGCCCACCTCCCCATCATAAAGCAAACCACCCCAAGCACACAGGATTGGCACAGAGCTGCCGGACCGAACCCAGGGGGCTGGACTGGATGATCCTTCCAACTATAATTCTATGAAGAGGCCATGAGGAAACGCAGCTGGTGACAGATCCAGAGGCGGCCTCAAGTTAATTTCAGTTCCTTCTCAGTGTCTACAGCAGGGGTTGTCAACCTGGTCCCTGCCGCCCACTAGTGGGCATTTCAGGATTCTAGGTGGGCGGGAGGGGGTTCTACAGTACAAGCTGAATCCTCCTTCCATAGAGCACTGGT